GTTTTGTTATTGCTTCCCTTCTTAATCAGTTCACCCCAAACAAGTCAATAATGTCACTAAGAGGCTACTGGAAATTAAAGAGAACGAAAAGATTTTAGAAGGAACCTGAAACCTAGTCTTAAACAGGGAACAAGGGATAAATCTCTACACCTCTTCAAAAAGAGCAAGGTAGAGTGTAAACCGTGCGATAGACATATTTATCTACTTGGGTTGGGGAGAAAAATAATTAGCAAATAAAATCTCAGAATTCAGGAGGAGTCACTAGAAGTATAGAATTGAAGTAGAGTTTAGAAGGAACCGGAAACCCAAGCCTAAACAGGAAACGAGGAATAAACATCTATTCCTGCTAAAATGACCGAGAAGTTTAGGCAAAACTCTCCCAGTGGTAGCCTATTCTATGTTCAATTTACTTTTCTCCTATAATAAATTGTTAAAAACTGATCCATACATCGAGGTATCTGAAGTGTTTAGGATATAGATAGATAGGTAATATTAGTAATATATATATATATATATATATATAGATATATAGATAGATAGATAGATAGATAGATAGATAATATTAGTGGTTAATATTATTATTATGCATCTGAAGATAATTCATATTTATCTGTATCTCACTCAATTAAACCGTCATTTAACTCCTCTCTTTAAAACTTCTCTCTGTTAAATTTTAATCCCCACCTTCACCTTTAGGCCTTCCTCTTCTTCTTTCATCTGTTACCCCCCTCTCTAGAGATTTCATTTATCTCTCACATTCGTCCCCCACTCTCATACATACACTCTCACTAAATTTTATTTTTTATTCCCGGAGTTATTTTTTCTGATTTCTTTTTGAATTTGTAGGTCTGATGAATTGGATCGTAATTACAATTCCAATGTAATAAATTATAACCATGAAATATTAGTGTTTAATCCTTTTTATTATATATATATATATATATATATATATATGTGTGTGTGTGTGTGTGTGTGTGTGTGTGTGTGTGTGTGTGTGTGTGTGTGTACATGCGTATATGTATGTGTGTACGTGTAAATATAAATATGTTGTGTATATGTATATACGTATGTGTTTTGGGGCATAGAAATAGTAGGTCCTTACTAGATTAAATATTCGTTATTTTTTTATATGTTTATTTTAAATCTATAAGCTGTAGGTGATATTACTTTTGTCAAATTTTCTTGATTGCACAGCGGGTCTTCAGAGTTTGTCTATATTTCTGAGATGAGGTATTATGTACAGTATTTACATTAGTCGGACTATTGTCCTCATCTTTGTCATCTTTGAATTACGATTCCAATGTAATAAATTATAACCATGAAATATTAGTGTTTAATCCTTTTTTTATTATATATATATATATATATATATATATATATATATATATATATATGGCCTAGAGGTTAGCATCTCAGACTAATACCAAATCTATCGTGTTTATATATATATATATATATATATATATATATATATATATATATATATAGACAGACAGATTGTTTCGTGGTATCACAGCTCATCAGTGGGGATATACATCCGATCATTTCACGCCGAAACACGACCGATGTGGTATTAGTCTGAGATTCTAACCTCTAGGCCATCGAGAGAAAGGTGAATTTTTGCTTGTTTATTTTCTTATAAACACACCAGCCACTCAATCGCTAAGAGAGCTCTGCATTATCAGCATTAATAGTGACTGTTTACAAATTCGTTACTCCCCACAGACTTCGAGCGATTAAATTATTTTATCGAGAGCTAATATCTATATAAAGGAATATAATATAAAGATATAAATTATATAGCAAACTAATTTAATATATTGATAATAAATATTAATTTTAAATATTAATAAAATAAAATGTTAATATATAAATATAAATTAATTAATATAAAATATTAAAAATATTAATAATTGTTGTGGTAGGATCCACCTAATTTGCATAGTGGAGTACCGACCATATAAATATGGTTGGTACCGGGAAGAGAGGGTGGAATCAAGAGATTCAACCCGAGACTCTGCCCGACTGCGACTCAGTCAACACATTCTCCAGGAACGGTCTTACCAGGAATATACAAAAGACTATATGTAAATATTGTGTACACTTTCTTGTTTAAATACATTTTGTTCTAAGTACATTTTGTGTGCATTATTATTCCATGCATTAGTCAAGTTTCAACAATAATAAAGTTAATTTAATATATAAATTATATAAGGATTATATACAAAGTAAACATATATAGTTACTATTTCTATAATACAATCCCTAAACTTATCTAAAACAAAAAATAAAATAAGCTTCTTTTTTTCAAGGAATGGTGATAAGGGTCCACAAAAAAGTAAGAGTAAAAGGGGTCCATGGGTAAAAAAAAAAAAGTTTGAGAACCACTGGTCTAGATGAACAATACCCCGACAATTCCAGCAAACGCATAACATTATCTTTCGTTCATGTAGCTCAAATTTTGGGATCGATCGATTGTCACGCCACTGCCTCTCTCGTTGAACATTGTCGTATGCAACCTACTTTTCATCGCTTGTCATGATATATTTAATATAAATATTAAAAGTGTTAATTCTAATGATGCATTCGTCATTACGACTGTTTCTCACAAACGGGAATTACTTATGATTAAACCTAATTTTTGTCTGGATATTCAAACTCAATTTGTTTACGTATTTAGGCCGGGAACACTAGAATCAAGCAGACACGGAAGTTTAAATATCTGGAAAGCGTCCTCATAGACAATGGTAAGTGCGACACTGAGATCCGTAGACGTATTGGGTTGGTCAAGGACGCATTCCAAAAACTGGACAGAGTATTGTGAGACAGTAGGATTTCTTTGCTAGAATCTGCTACTCACGGGTCAAATGGAGGGAAAGAGAGACAAGGGAAAACATCGCATGACATGCCGGAGGTGGGGGGTCTTACGCAAGTGGATGAGAGAACGTGGTCTGGAGGACGAAGCAGAGGGAAGGAGCTTGTTGAGAGCTGCAAGGGGTAGAGGGAGGTGGAGAGCCATGATCGCCTACGTCCTGAAAGGACATGGCACATAAAAAGAAAGAAAGAAAGAAAGAAAGTATAAATTCTCCGTTGTTTCTGGAATAGATTGATGCCTTTACTTATAAAGTGCTTTGGCGTTTCCTCTGCTATGTCTGCCTTTATCTTGACACAAGCAGTCAGTGTCATGTGCCAAGCGTGATTCACGCTTAGGCGATCATGCAATTTTCGATACATGACTGACGAGTCAGATTTTTCCCCACAGTATGTTACCATTTCTTTCTGCGGTAGACCAGTTGCTATCCAAGGCTATAGAACCTGGTCTGTCCTGCTATTTGCCCATAGCTGGGTGTGAAGAAGAGGATTCATACCTTTCTCAAGATTATTTGCGTCTAAGTGAATATCATTCAGTTATGTGCCATGCGTGGTACACGCTTAGGCGATCATGTATCTTTCGCTACATGACTGACGAGGCAGATTTTTTCCCCGCAGTACGTTGCCATTTCTTTCTGCGGTAGACCAGTTGCCATCCAAGGCTATAGTACACGGTCTGTCCTGCTATTTACCCATAGCTGGAGGAGAAGAAGAAGATTCATACCTTTCCCAAGAGTATTTGCGACTAAGTGAATATCTGTCAGTTATGTGCCATACGTGATACACGCTTAGGCAATCATGTATCTTTCGATACATGACTGCTTTTTTACCGCAGTAGATTGTCATTTCTTTCTTTAGACCAGTTACCATCCAAGTCTATAGAACCCGGTTTGTCCTACTATTTACCCATAGTTGGTGGGAGGAGAGGATGAGGATTCGTATCTTTCTGGAGGGTATTTGCGCGTAAGTGTATATCAGTCAATTATGTGGCATGCGTGATACACGCATAGGCGATCATGCATCTTTCGATACATCGATGACGAGGTAGATTCCCATTTCTTTCTGCGGTAGACCAGTCTAGAACCTGGTCTGTCCTGCTATTTACCCATAGCTGGAGGGGGAGAAAAGGGGGATTAATACCTTTCCCAAGGGTATTAGCGCGTAAGTGAATGTAACGAATTCGACTTGAATTCGAACTTGGCACTCCGATTCCTCAATCTGTGACACAATACCTTTCAGAATTACTATGACGTAGTATTTCTTGAACCTGATAAAGAAATTTAAGAGTTCATGCCTTTCAGAAGGGATCAGAAAAAAAAGAATCTCTGTTCCACTTTCTGATTTTCCGTTAAACCATTTCACGCGTCCCCGAAAACTGCAAATATGCACGAATTTAATATTCATACACATACATCAAAGTACATGCATATACACACATTTAATCTCACCCACTTTCATTTACCCAAACCAATGCAGCCACATTAAAACATATGCAAATGACCCGATGCATGATCATTGCTTGCATTAGAAACTTACCCGAGTCATTTGTGAAGACTTTGAAGCAACTGCATGATCTATTCACCAGTGCTTGGTCGGCAGCCTAACTACACTGTTTGTTGTAATGTCGCCATAAGTCGCACTCTTTGCATGCCTTATGCTGGCCATGCATGAGGTCAGAGATATTGTGAACTGCGTGTTTACGAATCACTGGTCTCCAGGGATTCTGCTTGTCAAATCAAATGCAAGTGGCCCTTGATATTGGTGACTGCATTAGCGATACAATTGATCCTATCTGCACTTTAATATCATAATCTGGAATATCAGCAAGCAGAATGGCTGGGAAGGACGGGGGAATGCATTGAAGTGATGAGGATGGACGAAGAGAAAGAGAATGAGGAAAGTTTAATGGGGGAAATATGAATTACATGAAAGTAAAAAGGAAAAGAAAAGAAGAAGATTTAAATTTGAATGGAAAGAAAAGAAAGATAAAAAGTTAAAACATGGCGGAAGGATGAAAATAGAATAAAAAGAAAATTTAACAGAAGAGAAAAACTGAGGAATTTATAAACAGTGATAACAGTAAGAAGAAGGAGAATTTTAGAAAAGCGAGAAGAACAAGAAAAAAATAATTAAAGAAGGAAAGAAAGAATCAAAGAATGGAATAATGAAAGAAAGAGAATGAAAAAAAAAAAAGAGAGAAAGAAAGAAAGAAAAAGAAAAAGAAAAAAAAAAAAAAAGAAAAGAAATGAAAGAAAGAAAAGAAAAAAAAAAAAAGAAATAAAGAAAAGAAAAAAAGAAAAAGAAAGAAAAAAAAAAAAAGAAAGAAAGAAAAAGAAAGAAATAAATAAAGAAAAAGAGAAAAAGAAAAGAAAGAAAAAAAAAAAAAAAAAGAGAGAATGAAAAACTACAAGAGAAATAAAGAAAGAAAGAAAGAAATTAAAGAGAAATAAATAAAGAAAGAAAAAGAGAATGAAAGAAAGACAAAAAAAGAAAGAAAAAAAAAGAAAAGAGAAATAAAAAATAAAAAAGAAATAGAGAAGGAAATAAAAAGAAAGAATGAAAAGAAAGAAAAGAGAAAGAAATAAATAAAGAAAAAGAAAATGAAATAACGAAGGCAATAAAAAGAGAATGAAAGAATGAAAGAAAGAAACAGAAAAAGAGAGAGAGAATGAAAAATGAAGAGAAAGAAAGAAAGAAAAAGAGAATGAATGAAAGAGAAAGAAAAAAGGGAGAGAGAATGAAAAATAAAGAGAAAGAAAGAAAGAACGAAAAAGAGAATAAAAGAAAGAAAAGAGAAAAAAAGAAAGAAAAGAGAAAGTAAGAATGAAAGAAAGAGAAAGAAATAAATAAAGAAAAAGAGAATGAAATAAAGAAAGAAAGAAAAAGAAATGAACTAAAAGAAATTGATACACAGAAGAAAACATTGAAATAAAAAGAAAAATGACAAAATCAAACGAAATGGTTCGATCAGATATTTATGAAAATATTTTATCCACAATAAAAAAAAATGAAAACGAACGAAAATGTTTAAGAAAAGATAAAAGATAGAAAAAAGCTAGAAATGTAATCAAGACTAGAAAAAGCTAGAAAAAGTAAATCGAGAAAAAAAACGATAAGAAAGAAAGAACGAAAGAAAGAAAGAAAGAAAAGAAAGAAAGAAAGAAAGAAAGAAAGAAAGAAAGAAAGAAAGAAAGAAAGAAAACGCAAAAGAAAGAGAAGCCGTGAAAATTATTCAGGGAAAAATGAAAATGAACTTTCGTTTATGAAACAAAGAAGCCAGAAAGGAAAGAAAAAAAGTCCTTTATTGTCCAGACTTCAAGGAGAATGTTCAGTTGAACTGTAAAGGACTTTTGAAAGAAAAATTTAAAATAAAAAAATCACTTCTCTGACATAAGATCAGCACTCACGTGACAAGCTGTTCAGAAACAATCAATACTTCTCAGACTGCCAAAATCTGGTGCATGCTTACACTCGCTTGTTAGAATTTTTTTTTTTTTTTCAATGATACCTGAATTAATCGATCAATATATTTATGGCCTGATTAGGTTAGTTAACACTTTTTAAGGTTTTCATCATGTGAGCATCTATATGTTACAATACAAAAACAGTCGAGAATTTTGTTCTGCTGAAAAAAGGGTTGTTTTTAATTATATTTTTCTTTTCATGACGCATATAATTTTCAAAATTCACAGCCATTGATTACATTTTACAAAATGTTGCTTAAGTAATGAAATATAAACGTTCTTGGAAATATTTTGTCGGTTAGGTTTGAAAGTTGAGAGTAACGAGCAATAAAATAGGAGTTCTATCCTGAAAATAATTGTATGACTGTGGAAAGTTCTGATAACGAATTAAGAAATACTTGTGCGAAAATATATGTATGGTAATATCCACGTACATACCCCTGTACACATCCTATATATAAAACAAAACTGCTCTCTATTAATCACCACAGAGATCCGTCCCTGCCACCCATTAGAATGTCTGACGCTCAACATCTCGAGAGCACCTTCCTGCGGCTGCTCGGTCTCACGTTGCCGGCTGACCTGAGATGGAACAAATACATTGAGTCAATTGCTTCGTCCACCGCAAGGAAAGTTGGCTTCCTGTGCCGCGCCAGGAAATTTTTCTCCCCGGAATCGATCCTCCAGATTTACAAATCAACCATTCGCCCTTGCATGGAGTATTGCTGCCATATATGGTATGGAGCCCCTTCTGTTTGCCTCGGGGTTCTTGATAGGCTCCAGAGGCGGTTATGCAACATAATTGGCCCTGATCTGGCATCTCGTCTACAGTCACTTTCTCACAGACGCGCCGTCGCCTCTCTCTGTCTGTTTTACAAATACTTTCATGGAAATTGCTCCGAGGAGCTGCATTCGCTGGTTCCCAGACTTCATGAAATTCAAGTGCCCTACGAGGCTGGCATCCCGCTCTCACACTTTCACTGTCGAAACTCTTAAATGTAGCCGTCTCTTCTACTCCAATAGCTTCATGTCTCGCACCTCTCGCCTGTGGAACTCACTTCCCTATTCCAGTTTCCCTGAGAGCTATAATCTCCAGCTGTTCAAATGTAATGTCAATCGACATCTCCAGTTGCCTTGATCTATCCACTACCCTTCTCCTTATCCTATCTTCTATCACTCCTATCTGATCTTGCTCTAAATTTTCTGTAACCCCTTGCGTCCTAGTGGCTTTTCGCCTTGCTTGGGGTGAAACGCTTAAAAAAAAGTATATGAACTGAGACATGGCATGTTTTAAACCAGATTTGAAGTTTAGCAAATATATAGAGACTGCCAGTTGCACAATTTACTGTGAAAACAGAAATAACCGTGCAATTAATGCCTAATACATGAGAAACAGAATTTTTAAAAGTAAGCGGATTCCATTTTGATCTTTGAACCACGTGAACATGCCAGCAAAAGAACTTAATGAGGCTCTCAGTAAACTAAAAAAATACACTTAGGAAGTTGTGTGTAGATCAGACGGAGTACGATATGGCGAAGAGAAGAGGAAGCAGATGAAAGTTACTGGTGAAATCAATCTTGAAAGCGGTGAAAAACGCTGAGTTTAGATGGAAGTGTTCGGTCTCTAGCACCAGTTAACAGTTGTTCAGTTTTTGAATACCGTATTTTCCGCACTATAGTCCGCACCTTTATATAACCCGCACTCCTAAAAGTTCAACTATATGGACGTAACTGGTTCGAAGCTGGCGACCGGTTTTCGTGAAGCTATGTTCCCCTAATCCTAACCCCGGCCACTTAGGGTTCGAAGACATAATTCATGTATAACTCGCACCGTTATATAACGCGCCCCCGACATATTTCGAGAAAATTGTCGCGGGAAATATGGCAGTAGAAAAGTTATGGAAAGTACCAAACTAAGATTTTTGTTTGAACCTTCTACAGCCCATTTTAAACATCTATAATAACCATTTTTTTTCTGTCCATTGACCTACACACACACACACACACACACACACACACACACACACATATATATATATATATATATATATATATATATATATATATATATAATGACATAGAGAATGAAAAAATAAAATATATATATATATATATATATATATATATATATATATATATATATATATATATATAATTATTTATTTAAAAAAATTTATAACATAAATATGTTATAGAATCACTACAAAAATAGTCATTTTGTTTCAACACTCTCGGTGTCTTATAAAGTAATGATGTTGAATGTATTTGTTGGTTATTGGAATTCATTCCATATACACCAATCATATACTTGGGTATATATATATATATATATATATATATATATAGCGGCTTGGATTGAGGAATTGCAGAACCGAGTTCGAATTCCAGTCGAATCCATTACATTCACTTACATGCTAATACCCTTGGTAAAGGTATGAATCCTCTTCCTCTCCCTCCAGCTATGGGTAAAATAGCAGGACAGACTGGGTTCTATAGCCTTGGATGGCAACTGGTCTAGGAGAAGGACAACTCTGAATTCAAAACCTGCGGAGGGTCGTTTGGGAACCTTGTGACACTCGGTGCACCAGGTCTCTGTATTCGTCCCTTCAAAAAAGTGTGGATGGTCCTGCACGAGGCCTTCACCACTATAATCAAATCTCATGTGCCGGTGTCGGGCTGTCGGTTTCCTGAAACTGATCTGTTTGACCCTCATACGTCGAATCTCGACAGGAGAGTCGATTATTATTATATATATATATATATATATATATATATATATATATATATATATATATATATATATATCAGGTCATCCCATAAGTTCTCTCCGAATTTTGAATAAAGAAAACAAGTGACCAAATGTTACATTTAATTACAGATTCAATCAACAATGTATTTTCCCTGATTATCTATGACTTCCTTCCATCTATTAACAAGCTTACTAATTCCATTACTGTAAAATTCGTTTGGCTTTGATTCGAAGAACTCACAAATGTCAGTTTTAACCTCTTCCTCTGTTACAAAAGCTGTTTCTTCCAAATGATTCTGTAAGCTACGAAACAAATGGTAGTCTGAAAGAGCAAAATCAGGAGAATAAGGTTGATGGGGTATTTTCTCTCAACCAAGTTCTTCGATCTTTTGTGACGTGTTGCTTGCTGTGTAGGGTCGCGCATTGTCCTGATGAAACATCACCTCTTTTCGATTCACTAGAGCAGGTCTTTTTTTCCTTGGTTCAAACGCTCTAATTGCTGACAGTATATTTGAGCATTAATTGTTGCATTAGGTGGTAAGAATTCAAAGAGGATTGTTCCTTGGCGATCCCACCAGATTGAAAGAACCTTTTGCCTATGAAGTTCCCTTCTTGGCTGTAGCTGGGGTCCTTCCCCTTCACCAAGCCACTGTCTACGACGCTTAACATTTCGATAAAAGATTCATTTTTCGCCAGACACAAGTCTATCCACAAAAGGTGAAACAAGTTGGCGAGAATGGAGAGAGAGAAGATGTCAACTCGGGATTTGAGGTTGTTTTCAGACAATTCATGAGGCACCCATTTTCCAAGTTTAGGAACTTTTCCAAGATGACGATGAACCGTTGTATGGTTTGAACTGAGAACCATTGCCAATTCCTCAACTGATAAAGCAGAATTTTCTTGAAGGGCTGTTTCAAGAAGCTTTTCATCAAACTCAACTGGACGTCTGGTTCGATCTTCATCTTCAAGGGTGAAATCTCCACTTCTGAATTTTGCAAACCATCTTCTGCAAGTTCTTTCATTCACACATTCCTCTACATAAACTGAGTGAATGTTTCTAGCCGCTTCGGCTGCTGAGTTTCCTTTCTTCAACTCATAAAGCATTATGTGCCTCAAATGAATCTTTCTATACTTCGTTTTTGATTGGTTATTCTAGCTTTTGTAACAATGTGTCCCCCTAGTGTAGGATCGTTAATTAATCTGAAACTTTTAAAACCATTTATTTTATTTTCAACATCATCACTTGATAAGACACAGAGTGTGTTGAAACAAAATGGCTATTTTTGTAGTGATTTTATAACATACTTATGTTATAATTTTTTTTTTTTATAAAAAACAATTATATCTGCTCTACTTTGTATTGAGCACTCTTTTAAGAATAGTAATTGTTGGTTATTGGAATTCATTCCGTATATACCAATTATATACTTATATATATATATATATATATATATATATATATATATATATATATATATATATATGCACTTACTTCATATATATGTTTATGTTTGCGTATATTATCCGTAGTTTATAAAGGTGCGTTGTCGGAAGTAACCGGGCAAACTACATATACGATATATATCGTATATTTATGTGTGTGTGTGTGTATGTTTGTATATGTCTGTGTGTCACCCAAAGTATGCATTTAGTTTATGTGTGTGTACGCGTCCGCACGCATCTATTTACGTCGGTGTAGATTCGTGTACATAAGTTCATGTTATTTTCTGAACAGTTGTTATTTGCTTGAATTTAAAAGATTTCACCTCAAACCGTGGCCTCTTAAATTTCGCTTTAACCCGTAGCCTCATGAAACCTCACTTAAACGGTAGCCTCTTAAATTTCGTCTTAAACAGTAGCCTCTTAATACTTCGCCTTAAACCGTACTCTTAAGTTTTGCCTTAAACTGTTGCCTCTTAAATTTCGTCTTAAACCGTAGCCTCTTAAATTTCGTCTTAAACCGTAGCCTCTTAAATTTCGTCTTAAACAGTAGCCTCTTAATACTTCGCCTTAATCCCTAGCGTCTTAAATTTCGTCTTGAACCGTAGACCCTTAAAAACCCGCTTAAACGGTAGCCTCCTAGATTTTGTCTTGAACCGTAGCCTATTAAATTTCCCCATAAACCGTAGCCTATTAAATTTCGTCTTAAACCGTAGCCTCTTAAATTTCGCCTTAAACCGTACTCTTAAATTTTGCCTTAAACTGTAGCCTCTAAAATTTCGTCTTAAACTGTTGCCTCTTAAATTTCGTCTTAAACCGTAGCCTCTTAAATTTAGCCTTAAACTGTACTCTTAAATTTCGCCTTAAACCGTAGCCTCTTAAAATTCTTCATAAACAGTAGCCTCTTAAATTTTGCCTTAAATCGTAGCCTCTTAAATTTCGCTTTAAATCCATAGCCTCTTAAAAATTTATATCATCCATCCAAATTCTATTTTATACAGAAGTGTAAAAGCATCAAATACATCTTAGAGTGAAATTGAATTTAAATTTAAATTTGAAATTATACTGAAAACTTTCACTAACAAAACCGTCCTTCCAACTGATAACATGTGTCGCATTGGTTGTCCTGCTGTTTCACTGCCTGTCTCCACTTATTTTTTTTTTCATTCACACATCTTGACAGGCTAATAAATGACATATGTGACAATAGCAAGTGCTGAAGATATTCATCTCCCAAAAACATCAGTGATGCCAATACATAAAATAAAAAACTTGATCCGACGATCCTGTTTGGAAAAACGTTAATAGGTGCATAAAAATATGCTGTCCGTAATATTTGCTTAGCCATTGTTCGAAATACAAAAATATAGCATTTCTCTAAATTTCTAAACGTTTCTTGAATATATTTTAACATATGGGCATGATTTGCATTGTTTTCTTTCACTCATATGAAAAACGAAATATATTGATTTTTTAAGCGTGGCTTACATGTGGCACAAGGCCAAAGGTATGGAGCACCCAGTAAGGATTGAACTTATTACTCAGTCGTAATTATTCTATCGAGACAAGCTTGCTTAAGCATTACGTGACACCTAGGTGCCCTAAATGACACACAATATATATTATGCCTTGAAATGTTTCAAGGGACATAGGCTGCAAGATATCGCTGCTGTTTCTATAACAAGCCAGTTTTTAAGTGAGTAGATTGTTAACCTATTGTACAACTCCCAGCCTGGAGGATCAGGTTTTGAATTCAGAGTAAATCCTTCTCCTAGACCAGTCGCCACCCAAGGCTATAAAACCCGATCTATCCTGCTATTTACCCATAGCTGGGGTGAGATAAGAAGAGTATTAATACATTTCCCAAGAGTATTAGGATTTAAGTGAAGGTAATGGATTCGACTGTAATTCGAACTCGGCTCTCCAATTCATCAATCCGAGCCGCTAATTTTTGAGAATGGTAACTCATATATTATATGTAAATATATATTATATGTGCAAAACATATAAATATTATAAATAAATATAAAGATAAATATAAATAAATTTATATTTATTTATATTTATAGATATAAATATTATAAATATATATGTGTAAAACAGCCCAGAGTTTTTAGATAAACGGATTTGAGTGCAAATGTATATATTATGGCTTTGAATTCTTTGATATCGTTGAGGTTTCTATAACAAGCCAGTTTTTTTTTAAAGTTAGTAGGTTTTTAGCCTACTGCACAGCCCCCCCCCATCTTGGAGGAGCAGGTTTTGAATTCAGAGTTTTCCTTCACCTAGACCAGTAGCCAGACAAGGCTACAGAACCCGGTCTGTCCTGCTATTTACCCATAGCTGGGGACACAAGAAGTGGATTCATACCTTTCCCAAGAGTATTAGCATTTAAGTGAAGGTAATGGATTCGTCTTTAATTCGAACCCGGCACTCCAATTCATCAATCCGAGCCGCTGCCCTACAATTTTTGAGTATGAAACGGAGATAGGGCTAATGTGTGCTTATGATATTCAGTAGTAACTCATATGCTTAATCGATATTAATTCTTAAGAAAGATCGAAATTCTCTCTAATCTGTAGCAGTCTTTTATGGAGAATAGATTGATGTCAACTGAACCTTTATGTAAATATCATTAATTACCACATTATTTGTTAGATAAAAAAAAAACGGGAAAAAGGAACATAGAACATTTTTATATATTATTCCTTGAGGAAATTAGAGCTGCAAGATATCGTTGCGGTTTCTATAACAAGCCAGATTTTAAGTGAGTAGGTTGTTAGCCTACGACATAGCCCCCAACCTGGAGGATCAGGTTTTGAATTTAGACAAGTTGCTACCCAAGGCTATAGGATTCAGTCTGTCCCGCTATTTACCCATAGCTGGCGGGGGAGAAGAAGAGGATTCGCGTTATTAGCACGTAAATGAATGTAATGGATTCGACTGGAATTCGAAGTCGGCTCTCCGATTCCTCAATCCTAGCCGCTATCCATTACGCCACTGTGCCTTCTCGGGACACTACCATCCTAGCCTATTCAAATCAAATGTATGTTTCTATTTATGATAAATAACACAATGACACAATAAAGGAAGTTATCTCTTGCCAATATTAAAATGTTGATCCTATTGGTTGTGTCCTTGTTGCGCCCAATTTGACTCCCGGTGATTTAGGATGAACATTTTATTAATGTACATACCACACAAGATGAGTATTGCTTCATTTCAATGGCTTCTCTGTCGACATGAAGATAAATAAGCACGTGAGGAAGCGAAAGAAGGCTGTTTTACGGTATACCCAACGTTAAAGATATGTCATCACGTGAATATGCATTTACATATGCAAATTTTCATGAATACATGTGCGTTCGTAAAACGTGAATACATCAGCAAGCCGACATTTTTCTTGTCACGCTTTCTATCGACAGACAGATAGATAGATAGATAGATAGATAGATAGATAGATAGATATTTTTCAAAATATTAATGTAAAAAATAATTACTTGTTTATTTTTAACATTTTACCTAATCTCCTTCCTTGTCACTGTATTTTAATCAAAAGTGAATATTAATTGGTTACACTGAATATTATGCAATGAAATCAAATTAAAATAGATAGATAGATAGATAGATAGATAGATAGATAGATAGATAGATAGAGAGATCGGAACAGAATTGCACAGAGTGATATGGACAGAATTAGATAGATAGATAGATAGATAGATAGATAGATAGATAGATCGGAACAGAATTGCACAGAGTGATATGGACAGAATTAGATAGATAGATAGATAGATAGATAGATAGATAGATAGATAGATAGATAGATAGATATACTAGGGTGAGACGAACATCCTAAGATAGATAGATAGATAGATAGATAGATATACTAGGTTGAGACGAACATCCTAAGATAGATAGATAGATAGATAGATAGATAGATAGATAGATAGATAGATAGATAGATAGATCGGAACAGAATTGCACAGACAGAGTGATATGGACAGAATCATCTTTGCATAGTGACTGTCAATTTCCTGCTCCAATGTGATTTTCAAATCAAATTAAAATTCAAGGCAAAATTACATTTCAGTCCTCGGACTTATCGATCCACTCTCACATACCTGTGCATATGTGTGCACCGGTGTGTGTATATATTTATGCGTCAGTATATATTAACGTGTTAATGCATCTTGAAGAGCTACGTGTTTGAAAGCGCATAAAGAAATATAATCTGGTTCACGTGGTTAGTTTGTATTTGTCACGAGTTTGAGTTGCAGGTTGAACAATAATTCTTAAGTCATATTTTGAAAATGTCGATAGATGATTTTCTCATCACCAAGCCATCAATACACCGGCATAACTTTTAGATAGATATATTATACGCACACGGACACAGAGAGACTTACACGAAATGATATGCATCTATGTACACACTCTATTCTTTTTCCTTCATTGTGTAGCAGTTTTATTATTCAT